AAGTGTAATGCTGGCCTTGCCACTAGAGAGCAAACTGCTTCTGGAGAACCTTACGAATAGGAATGGAGAAAAAGACATTTTCCAGATCAATAGCTGTATAGCAGATACCAGGCCATGTGTTAATTAACTCAAGCAATTAAAGCACATCTGGTAGAGTCATTGCAATTGGATTCACCATCTTGTTAAGTTTACAATAATCCTCTGTCATTCTCAAAGATCTATCAGTGTTCTATCCAGACCGGATAGAAGAGTTGAAGGGGGATGTGGTGGGAATCACCATCCCTGCATCCTTTAAGTCTTTGATGGGGCCAGTGATCTCTGCAGTCCCTCCAGGAATGTGGGATTACTTTTGGTTTCCTATTTTCCTAGGTAGAGGCAGTTGTCTCTTGGCCTTCTCCACCATTATGTCCCTTACTCCATAGATCAGGGAACCAATGTGAGATTCTGCCAGATTCTCAGTATGTCTATTCCAATTACACATTCCAGAACTGGGGAAAAAACCACAGAGTGGATTCAGGGACCCCTTGGGCCTCCTGTGAGATGGACCTTAAAACCCCATTGATCACCTGACCTCCATAAGCCCCTACTCTGACTGGAGGGACCACAGTGATATTTGGATCTCCAGAATCAGTGTCCATTCAAAGCCAGTGTCTAGTAGTCCCCCAAAGGGTTGATTATTTCCTTTTTCCCAGTGCATAGTTATCCTGGTAAAAAGCTGCAGGTCGTTTTGAGGAAGGCTGAGAAAATTAACAGCATAAATATTTGTTCTATGGTCGGGCCCTTCCTCAAGGGTACCCAGCTTCCCTTTCATTTAAGTGGTTCTGGGTTTGTTAACTGGGCCAAGTCTGAGGAGGAGCCATGACCGTTTTTGTAATTCAGATTAGACTTTTGTTCACTTGACCTAGAACTTCTCTGCTTATACAGAACAAGTAAGAATGTGTTAGACTTCCTACCTATTTCACTTCCAGGCACATCATGACCACATAGCTAACACCATGGGTCTGTGCATGTCAGCCTATTCTGATCACTGCATTGACCCTGCTGTCCATTATGGTATCCATGCTGTCCTTGCCTTAGGCAGTTGAATGCCACCTTTGGGTATCCACCACCCCAGGATCCAATTACTCTCACTGTGGTTGGGTTTCTCAGTTCAGTGACTGTGGTTCCCCCTGTGAGGTCTGGCCTACAAAGAATGATCACAGAACTCTTCAAGGATTCTAAGACTCTATTCACAAATTTATTTCTCATAGTCATGGTGAGAGGCATGTCTTCTGGACCTTCCCAAGGTGGGTGAGTGGGTCTCAGATGACAAATCCACTACAACATCCCACCTTCCCTGTTTTTGAATCCCGTTCTTTACATGAAATCAAGGAGAGCCAGAATTTCATATTCATTCACTGTAGGTCGAACTTGGGCCTATGTTTTAGTCAACTCACCAAACAAACTGTTAGACCCTTTCTAACTCCCCAAGATATAACATTAAATAGAAAAATCTGCTTAGCTAGCCCATAGAAATAAATTCTCTAATGCAATTTTAATGTTTCTTCCACCATTATCCCACACCTTTTGTATCCATTACCACAAATACTCCCCAGATTGCTGTCTGTGTGAATTAGAAAACTCAGGTAGTTCTTTTGAAGTATAGCACACCTCCTCATGGGTCATACTTTGTACCTCACCTTTAGGGTCCTGCTGAGAACTGAGTCTAGTTATAGGTCTAGAAGCAAAGAGGATGGTGGGGCTGGGTCCTCAGGGGGAATCAGCATTGTTTTGCTTGGCAGTGTCTTGGGAAGGCCACTGTCCTCTCCTCAAGTGAAGGCTTCAGATAGAGGTTGAGAGGTCACTTTTACTGGAGGTAGAGAAACTGCTTCCACTGTCAAAGATGACTTATCCAGTGTCCCCAGCTCCATCAGGTCTTCCTATATATCCTCATTCCAACTTTCAGGATCCCATTCCTTCTCAGTCAATGTGTTTAACAGTAGATACCCTGTGAGGCTAGGAATTCAACTCACATCATATTTTAGCCAGTCACAGGATGCGACTGTGAATTTGATTATTAGCAATCTCTGCCTTGTGGCTGTAGGACAAAGGGTCTCTTTCAGGACAAATTGATACGGGAGGGCTAAGTTTCTTCTTTCACGGCTTCGAAGAATGAATCTCATGGGCAATAGAGAGTGAGCAAAGCAATAGAAGTTTATTAAACAAAGATACAGAGAAAATTCTGAGAAGTGAGAGGGGTCCCGACAGGGTTGCCACTGAGGGCTTGTAGTAGTGGTCTTTTATTGAGAATTGACTGGGAAACTTGTGGCCTTGAGATTCTTGTGCTGTCTTGGTTTGAGTTAGGACTTGTGATAACATCTTTAATGGCTTACTTCTTCTTTGGGGCCTGGTTATTCTTTGTTGGTCACAGATGACTGTCATAAAAAAGACACCCCCTCACATTTAGGGCAGGGTGGTCTGGCTTGTTCCCTTATATCTGGTTTCCTTACACCTCAGCACTTTTGGGATTTCTGTGAGCCTGATTGTGTGGCCCCCTACCTAGCCCTGCCTAGCCCTGTTTGTTCCTACCACAAAATGAAGATTTCAAGTCATTTCTGGGGCACTAGAGCTGGGAATTTTAATCGTGAATTCATCTTTTCTTTCCCTGCTTTGTCAAGCAACATTAGGAGCAACCAGCCAATCTCATTATACTTATTAGTTTGATGAAATGTTTCAACATATCAAATATATTGGTCACCTAGATCCTACTTTCTTTCAAGTGTTGGACAGGAATAAACAATGGTGATATTTTGCTTATATCTATTGCCCACCACACCATGGACTATTATTGCTTTCTTTACTACTGGAAATAGAGTTATTAGTATCTTTAAATCTAATCAGATCAGAGAGCCAGTTCCAGAAACCCCAGAATGAATTCAGGCAATTCATCCTTAAGATTTTGTACTTCTAGAAGAACTCTCAGTACCAAAATCTGTACTAATCAGAATTCTCCAGAGAAAAATGTGTGTGTGTGTGTGTGTGTGTGTGTGTGTGCGCGCACATGTGAGTTTGTGCTATAAGAAATTACCTCACATGATCATGGAGACTGGTAAATCCTAATCTGCAATGTTGTCAATCAGGTTCAAGATCCAGGAAAGCTGATTGGTGATAAACTCTGAAGGCCACTCAGGGAAGGTGGCAGTGCAGGTGAAATCCAAAGGCTGTGTGCTGGACAAATTCCCTCTTTTTTGTGGAGGCTGGTCTTTTTGTTCTATTTAGACCTTCAACCAATTGGATGAGGCCCACCCACCTTATGGAGAGCAATCTGCTTACTCAAAGTTCACTTATTTAAATGCTAATCTCATTCAAAAACACTCTCTGAGTTGACATATAAAATTAACCATCATACTCTCCCAGGTATCTTTTCCATGGTATTTTGTTTCTCCCATATGTTAGAACTAATAATGTGCCCATACTTATCCTTACTTTGAGGAAAACTCATTTTTACCCTTTTCTTGAGCAACTGTAATTTTTTCTCAGGACCCCCTTCTTAAAAATCATATTTTCATTCTCTACCTTGGAACTCTTTTTGGGGACAGAAGGGTCTGCTGTCTTTCCTCCTTGTTTTCAGCTTATTATCAATTTTCATTTAAGTTTATTCTTGAGTCAAATTGACAGTGCTCATCTCCAACCTCTCCTTCATTTGCTCTATTTGCCACACTTGAACAAACCTCACTTCTCCCTTCAGCAGATTCTCCTCCATGTTCAGTCTCTCTGAGGAGACTTCTGGGTCCTGCCAGCCCATGAAGATGGCCCCTTCTGTTCTCTGCGGGATTCCTGGGTCTCACACCTTCTAGCACTCAATTGGAAGGGTTGGATGTGGGACATATCACTGCTTGCCAAGAAACTTCTTGAGGATGGGATCCTGCCTTCTGCTAAATCCTCCAGCATCTGACACTGTGAGCTGTCAATATAAGACCAAATTACTGGGTGTTTCCATGTTCCTCTTTCCTCTGGCCACAGTCTCTGTTGGATTTCCTGGGCCACACTAAAGATGCAGTGACAATTTAGGAAATGCAAAGTTTTAAATGGAAACTTGGACTTTTCCCATGACCTACAGCATGGCTGATACTTCTTCAGAAAGAGATTGTGAGACAAAACACTTCCTACTTCTCTTTTTCCCCACTATAGCCTTGTTCCCCCAGTGGTCCTGAAGCAGAAATTTCTGGACCTAATTTCTTCAGAAGCTTCTGGGAGCCTGGGATTTGGCTACCTTGGAGGTCAACCAGCCAGAATGTCCACCATCAAAGGACATCTTCAGTACATAGTCCCCTTTTCCTGTTCACAGCACTCTTATTTCTGTGTGGGGCACCACCTGCACCCATTATCAGTGTACATAGTTCTGAATGGCTGGCCCTTTGCTGGCTCCTGGAGTGGACTTGTGATTTGAGCCTCACCTAGAAGAATGCCACTGTTAGCCACAGTGATTGGAACAGCAATGGGCTGTGGGCTTATGAGTTACAAGAATTAGACCACAGACATTTGCTGGAATTATTAGTAACCAGGCTCTCTCCTTTTATTGGGGCTACTAAGGTGGTAGGATGCAAACTGGAGGTACTGCTAGTCATTATGGCCACCACTTGGAAGCCCTTTTTGAGGGTGATAGCTATAAATAAAAAATAGTTTCTGTCAATATCTGTTGAGCCTCTAAATTCAGCCATGCCTGAAGCCAAATACCACTCCTGGTGTTTTTGTGTTTTGTAGGTCTACATCTACAAATAACTGTTTTTGGCTTTAGATGGTTTGAGATAGATAACTGACTTGCAGTGGAAAGAGTCCTGACTAATGCAGGGACCCAAAGCCTAGTCCCCCAGCCAGGGCTCCAGCCTGCATTTCTGGTCCCACTTTCTATTATCACCCTCAGTTCCTGGTCCTTAGATCTAATCTGTCTAGCCAGTCTGTCTGCTGGTAGCACATTTTCACACACTTTCATTGGTTAAGGAATAGCATCTGCTTTATTATCAGTAGAAAATGGCCCAGAGTAACATGTAGGGCAGAAGTGAAATCAGAAGCCAGAATCTGTGGCTTCCTGGCTCTGGAAATTCTGCTGCATGGGACCTCATTTGTTTCCTATTGGGAGAACCTCTCATTTCCTCTGCATTAAAAGGTCTTCCCTCCATCTCAGTCACCTTCTTGATCCAAAGGGTGTAATTTTCTAACAAAGTGTATATCCCTGGCGTGTTCTTCCGTCCACAGCTCTTGCCCCAGCTGATAATGCCCACCAGGTACCAGGTCTTGTCAGACTCTGTGGTGCAGGCCAGAGGCCCCCCGCTGTCACCCTGTGGGCAGAGAACACAGTTCAATAGTGAGTCCCATTCTAGACTGTTCATTTGAGGCAAATAGCTCATGAATTAGGGAATACACTGATCTCCCCTGCTCCAGGCTGCCAAAGGAGATGTTGTCATTGTTGCTGACCAATGCCCACCCCTCTTCTTGGTCCACAGGAGCAGCATGCTGCTGTCAGGCTTGTTCCAGGAGTTATAGACAGTGGAGAGGACAAAACTGAAGAGAGAGGAGAGAGAGAGAGAATTGGTAAGAAAATCACTGCATGCAGCACAGTGAAAGGTGAGCTGGAGGACAGAGTAAATGCTGCACAGACCAAGAGGAGTGAGAACTAGTTTTGTGGACCTTATCAAATTAGAAGCTCTGTAAAGGGCCGTAAAAGAAAGGAATGAAAGCAGAATATGAGAAATATTGTTAGAGTTGTAGATATGCATTGAGTCTTCTTTGGTGTTCTTCCAGAGGCATGAAGGAGAATGATGTCCCTTTTTTATTCTTTGGTGTGGGTGTCTGCAAGGCATAAGTGAGCTAAAGCTTTTCTGAATGCATGATTCCTACGGGGTGGACTCACATGTGCCTATGACTCACATGATTACATATATAGAAAATATATACCAAGTCCCTACCATGTACCATGCATATATATGGCTTCCTTTTACCCATTTCTATACATGCAAACCGAGGCATAAGAAGGCTTAATCGCTTGATCAGGGCTACACAGTAGGCCAGACTGAGTTGGAATCAGGACTTCCTGATGCTAAACTAAGGCACACGTTCTTTTCACCTTGCTACTTGCTTTTCATGGAAGTTGCTGAGTGGCTTTAGGAGGCTTTTCTGCAGCAGAAAGATAGCCTCCTTTTCCAAGATCATAAACGGGTGGCTAGAATTAATGGAATATTATACTGAGCTCTAATAGGAGGAGGAGGATTAATATTTCCTGGACATGATACGTGAGACATAGTGCTAGCCCCTGGACTTCTGTTTCTCATCAATTGTGCTCCATCACATCTCTGTGAGGTAGTTATTATGATTCCCATTTTATAATTCTAAAACTGAAGGTCAGAAGAGGTTTGATCATTCCATTTAACAAATCTGAGGGAAAAATTATCTGGCCTTTGGGATACAAGACATTATGTTCTACTGGAAGAGATAAAAATGTTAAAAAAAAAAGATCAATTGTGTTTGATGGGACAGAGTATGCACACAATATGGGTGGAGTACAAAGCAGGGAGTAAATTGATTCTGTTGAGGGAAGGTATGTCAGGATAGACTTCAAAGCATTTAGTTTGAAGGATGAATAGGAATTTGACAGGAAGAGTGTGGGGGCTGATGGAGGGGAATCAGGCAGGAAATAGAGGGACTAAGATGAGGACATGAAAATGATAAAAATCTGAACCAGGGATGACTTTGGATATAAATGATGGGGATTAGTTCCAAGGTCATAGGGTGTGGATAACAGGGATAAAGTGTAGCGAGAAACAATGAATAAATGTGTTCAAATGGAGTTTGGGTTGGCTGAGGGACACATCGCCAAGCAGAGGGATATACAGAGCAAAGAGATTGTGGCTCAGGGACACCCAGTAAATATGGGCCAAAACAAAAATTGCCATTTTCAGTATAAAATGTTGCCTCTAACACTTGTCTGGTTTTTGTGTGTGTTTTTCTTTGTGCTAAGTTTTGTTTCCGTTATTGGGGAAGAACTATATCAACAGGATTTCCACACCAATAACTCCTTCCATAAATTTTGTTTTTACAACTTTCTTCATTTTATGAAGGAATGGATGTTATTAAAAATCTTATTAATCTGTTGCCTTGATTATTTGTTATTTTCTTATACAACAAGGAGAGAACTGTCCCTCGGCAAATAACTCTATTAAACTTCAGTTTCCATATAGTTCAAATGGAAATAATACTTTGGGAGTACCTCCCAAGAGAGTTGGAGGATGAAATTTTAAGAATCTATAAATCACCAGGCACAGGGTAAATGCTATGTAGTAAATGCCCTAGAAATGTATTAATATTGTTGTTTTGCCCTTATGTATTACAAATATTGCTTATATATTTAGGAAATAGGATTCTCCTCACAGACTGCTAGGACCAAGAAGGACATCTGTAAATACGTGTCCTTTTATGCATAAACTTAATTTTTTTCTTCCTTTTGGAAAGAAAAAGCAAGCATTGCCTCAAAATAGGGTCTTGCCTTAGATAGTGGTTTAGTGCCTGCTAAACTCCAGGTTGTGATGCTGGAGTCCTGGGATCCAGTCTCACATTGGGCTCCCTGAGTGGAGCCTGCTTCTCTCTCTGTCTGTGTCTTGCCTCTCCTCTCTCTCTCTCTCTCTTTCTCTCTCTCTCTCTCTGTGTCTCATGAATAAATAAAATCTTTGAAAAAAATCTAAAAAAATAAAATAAAAAGTCTGTGATCCTAAAAGTCAAAGTTTCTGTGGAGTGAAATAAGACTTCTGTGAAAGCAGCAGGGATGATGAGCTCAAGATAACCCAGGGCAGTGAAACTATTCTGTATGATACTATAACAATGGCTATGCATAATTATACTTTTATCTTAACTTATAGGATATATAACACCATAAATGAACCCTAAAGTAGACCGCAATCTTTGAGTGATAGTGACATGATAGTGTAGGTTCATCAGTTGTAACAAATGTACCCCTCTGGTGGGGGATGTTGATAGAGGAAGAGGTTAGGTATGTGGAAACGGGGTGCATGGGAAATCCCAATATCTTACTTTCAATTTTGCTGTAAACCTAAAACTCTAAAAAAATAAAGTCATTAGAAAAAAAAAAAGCAGCTCAAGTCTAAATCAAGTCATCTTCACAGTCCCATAACCAGACTTCCTGGCAGCCCAACCAACTGCCCACTCTTAACCTCCTCTCCACCTGCAGACTCTTAGCCTCCTTGAGGACCTCATTCAGGTGTCCTCTCCATTAGGGCTACTTTATGGGCAGATAGTTGCTGGCTTCCTTGGAATGTTCATCTACTTGACAAAGATCTGTTGAGCATCTTTCATGTGCCCAGCATTGCACTAAGCACTGGGAATTTACACACAAATAAGACAACATTTCTGCTGGAGCAGAGAAGACAGCTAAGAAAATAGTTCATTGTGATGACTTGCTCCAGAAAATTGCTAGTCCTTCCCAAAAGTATTGCATTACTAGCTGGGGATATGTTTGATTTTACTATGCCATTTAAAAATTATCTTTTAATTGAGATTTTTTTTGTTTCATAGTATAACCTTAGTAAGGTATTACAAAGAGGAAAAGTGTTGGGAAAAGTACATAAAAAACCTGGTTGTTCTACATTTTATTTTATTTATTTACTTTTTTGTTTTCCATTTTAACATTTAATTTTGATTTGCATGTTAAGCATAGAATCATCTTATTGCTATTATTTTGAACATATTTTAATGTTTTCATTATAAAATTATCACTTCCCTGAATTATGTGATGACATGATTTTTAAAAGTTTGCTAAATTTAAAGTATGATTTTATTTTTAAAGGCAATTATTTTTAAATTCTAGGGGACAGTCTGCCTGGTTTATCTGTTTTTAAGTGATGATAATATCGTATAATTTCGGAAAAATTTCCTCGATTGCATCACTGTCAGCTTATTGATAACAAGAGAAAGCTGTCTAAACAGAGAGCAGAGCTTTTCACTCCACAGTTTTAAAAACAAGGCCTAAAATGATAACACATTCACTTATAATACTCTTAAATAATAGATAATTAATTTTAGAAGCTTTGACTAAAGTACATTTTGATTGGAGAGGTATTGAAGCAAAACTCCTAGACTCCAGATGGTAGATCCAGCCACAGAAGCAAAGGTACAGAAAATGTCATCAAGGATGACACTTGATTATTTCAAATTTTGTCATAATTGACTTTGCCCATTTGAACGTAGGATGGTGTTAAATCAAAGAGATTGAAATGGTCAGGTTGGAATGCCCATGGACCCTGATTCTTATATTCTTGGGTGAGTAGTTGGAGTGACAACCTAAGAGAACAGCAAGTCTTCTATGCCTGGTACACACCTCCCTAGGTGATTTTTGCTCTGTCCACCTCTCCAGACTCCTCTTTTATTACTTCTGGCTTCTGAAATATTGGAAATTCCATGAGCACATGATGCTGTTTCAGGCCTTTGCAATTTTTTCCCACATTCTCTATGACCAACCTCTCTTTCCAATCTTATCTATCAAATGTTTTTTCCCCATTTCTATTTTGTTTTTAAAGATTTTATTTATTTATTCATGAGAGACACAGAGAGAGGCAGAGACACAAGCAGAGGGAGAAGCAGGCTCTTCACAGGGAGCCTGATGTAAGACTCCATTCCAGGACCCCGGGATCACACCCTGAGCCTAAAGCAGATGCTCAACACTCAGGCGTCCCTTCCCTTTTTTATTGATATTGGAGCCCTTTGCCTCTTGTTTCAGTATGAAATGGTTGCTCTCTGAGTCTGCGGCATGGCTATGATCTGAGATCTTTCTGGAACTACTATTATTGGGAAGTTTTGTCTTCTCTTCATTATTTAATTTTGATATCACTGTAGATTTATATGCAATTATAAGAAAGAATATAAAGAGATCCCATGTTTCCTATAATAATAACATCTTCCAAAGCTATAGTACAATAGCACAACCAGGATGTTGGCATTGATCCAGGGATCCCTTGTTACCCCTTTTTGTGCTACCACCCTATCCCCTCCTACCTGCAACACTTCCTCAATCCCTGGAAGCCACTAATCCATTCTCCATGTCTATAATTTTGTCATTTCTAGAACGTTATGTAAATGGGATCATTCAGTGTAGGACCTCTGGGGATTGGCTTGTTTCACACAGTGTGAGTCTTAGGAGATCCATCCACATTGCTGCACGTATGAATAGTTTGTTTTTGTCACAGCTGAGTGGTATTGCATGGCACTGATGTACCATAGATGGTTAAACATCTACATCTTTAAAGATATTTGTTTTCAATTCTTGGCTATGATGAGTGCTATAACATCCCTGCACAAGTTTTAATGTAAACATAAACCTTCATTTATCTGGAATAAGTGGCTAGGAGTGGTATTTGCTGGGTTGTATGGCAGGAGAGTGTTCAGTTTTTTAAGAAACTGCCAAACTATTTTCCAAATTGGTTGGACTATTTTAAATTCTCATTAGCAATGTATGAGTGCTCCAGTTCCTCTGCATTTTTGCCATCATTTGGTGACATCACTATTTTTTTTTTAGCCATCCTGAGAGATATGGAGTGATACCTCATTTGTAGCTTTAGTTTGCATTTTCTTAATGGCTAATGACATTGAACTTCTTTTCATTTCTTTTTTTTCCCTAAAATATATATAATATATAAATATAAATATATATTTTATTGGAGTTCGATTTGCCAACATATATTATAACACCCAGTGCTCATCCCGTCAAGTGCCCCCCTCAGTGTCCGTCACCCAGTCACCCCATCCCCCCGCCCACCTTCCCTTCCACTACCTCTTGTTCGTTTCCCAGAGTTAAGAGTCTCTCATGTTTTGTCACCCTCTCTAATTTTTCCCACTCATTTTCTCTCCTTTCCCCTATCCCTTTCACTATTCTTTATATTCTCCATATGAGTGAAACTATAGAATTGTCTTTCTCTGATTGACTTACTTCACTCAGCATAATACCCTCCAGTTCCATCCACGTCGAAGCAAATGGTGGGTATTCGTCATTTCTAATGGTTGAGTAATATTCCATTATATATATATATAATATATATATATATTGGTGTATATATATACCAATATACCACATCTTTATCCATTCATCTTTCGATGAACACTGAGGCTCCTTCCACAGTTTGGCTATTGTGGACATTGCTGCTATAAACATTGGGGTTCAGGTGTCTTGGCTTTTCACTGCAACTGTATCTTTGGGGTAAATCCCGAGTAGTGCAATTGCTGGGTCATCAGGTAGCTCTATTTTTAAGTATTCAGGGAACCACACAGTTTTCCCAAATGGCTGTACCCCTTTTCATGTTCTTATTTGCCATCTGTATATCTTGTTTAGTGAAATGTCTGTCCATGTCTCTTGCCCATTTTCTAATTAGATAGTTTTTTTCTACTGTTGAGTCTGAGAGTTCTCTATATATTCTAGGTAATTTCTTTATTGGATATCATCTCCTAATCTGTGGCTTTGTTTTCATCCTCTTGCAGCAACAGTCCAACCAGTCTTAAAGGTTAACTTGCTTCAAGTTAGCACGCTCCTTGCTTGTTAACCTGTCTCTTGATCTGTAACACAATGAATTTACTTTCCTTAGGTTTGCAGATCATGGGCCTTAAGGATTGAAGGACTAGAACTTTTCTAGGCCACTGAAGCTAGGATGTCTGTGTGAAGCTTCCTTGGCTTTCTGAGTAGCTAACACTTTTTTTTTTTTTTTAGCACAATGGTTTTTGTTTTTGTTTTTTGTTTTTTTAGTTTGTTTATTTGTTTGTTTTTAGGTCACACAGGTGATTTTACTGACCTTCCTCTGCGCATCTGTCGACCTGGCCCTCCTTTGCAGAAAGAACAGAATATTTCCAGTACCAGATCCCCTTGCATTGGGATAATGTTTATAGCTACCATGTGATCAAGAAACATTGTCGGCCACTGAACTTCCTTTGCTGATTAGCCATCCTAAACCCCTTTAAAACCCTTGGGCCACACAGAAATTCCAGAGTTGGCTTTTGGTCAAGACATCATCTTGGGTTGCTGGCCTCCTGAATAAAGCACAATTTTTTTTCCAATCAAAAACTCATCTCTTTGGCACCTTGGTGGCTCAGTGATTGAGCGTCAGCCTTTGGCTCGGGGTGTGATCCTGGGGTCCTGGGGTAGAGTGCCGCATCAAGATCCTTGCAGGGAGCCTACTTCTCCCTCTGCCCATGTCTCTGCCTCTCTCTCTCTGTCTCTCGTGAATAAATAAATAAAATCTTAAAAAAACCCAAACAACTCATCTCTTGAGTAATGGCCTTTCAAGCGACTGGGCAGCTGAACTTGGATTTGGTAACACTCTTAATAGGGTCTTTCAGAGGGCAAAATTTTCAACTTTGAAGAAGTCCAGTTTATCAATATTTACTTTTATGAATTGTATCTTTGATGTCACTCTATGTCTCACGGATTTCCTGTGTTTTTTTTTCTGAAAGTTTTTATGCTTTTATATTTAAGTTCATTGTACATTTTGAGTTTTTATTATTTTATTTATTTGAGAGAGAGCATGAGCAAGGGAAGGGGCAGAGGGAGAGGGGGAAGCAGGCTCCCTGTTGAGGGGGGAGCTCGTTGCAGGCCTCCATCCCAGGACCCTGAGATCATGACCTGAGTTTAACTGACTGAACTACCCAGGTACTCCTTGAGTCAAGTTTTAATTGGATTTATTCTAGGAATTAATGGTTCTCAATTTTCTTTTAAAAAAAAATTCTTCACTCTGACTTTTGGCTTTAGTTTTCCTGATTTTCCTTATCCTGTGTTTATCAATAAATTAAATCCAACTCTCTATTCTAGCTATGACAGATCTTGCCTAGAGTTTTGCCTTGAGTATTAGGTTATAAGACTGGTTCTCATTTAAATCTTCACCTTTAACAGGTTTCTTTGAAACTGGAGTGGGATAGCAACTCTACCATTGGATTGGGGTGGAAGCCTGGATTCCCCACTCAGGCCAGTGATGACACCGAGGTGAGAAGCAGGAGTGCCCAGTTATACCTGAGTGGGATACCTGGGTGGGATGGAAGCCCAAGTTCCTCAGGTAGCCTCCAGTGACATCAAGGGGGGCAGAGGATGGCTGGTTACTACTAGATGGTAGCTAAACTTCTGGTTCTCCACTTAGCTTCTTCTGTAACTACCATGGTGGGCAGTAGAAGGAAGTCAAGGTTGTCCACTTGACCTTGGTTGATGGGGTAGGGGGGGGCATCAATTTTTTCTTGGTATTTATTGGAATACAATATTTAATATTTATTGTCAAAAAGTTTCTACCTTGCTAGATTGCTCCTTTCCTAGTCCAGAGAGAGGGAAGTCTTTCTTATTTTGTTAGTTTTCCTCTGTGCATATTGGCATTCTGGGTGGCAGTCTTGTCTAACATCCAGTCTAGAATATATAAGAGGCAAAAAGAAAACCCAAGGAACTCACTGTTGGGTCATTCCTTAAGCATTAGGATATGCAATATGCATCTTTACCTTTCAGAGCCTTTATTTTTGTTTTTACAATATAATGTCCAGTACTTTTAGCTGTACTTAGTGGGAGGGATTAGCATAATATGTTTACTCCATCTTGTCCAGAACCAGAACTCCTGATTCTCTTTTTTGTCTTGTAATGTTTTAAATTGTCCAGAAAGTGAAGAAAACTCAAGGTTAATATGATATTGATATCATTTCTCTCTTTGGTCCTCACAGTATTCACCACATGAGAGACTCCTAAACAGTGTCATTGCTGCAGGAGTCCATTCTTTCTTACCTCAGGCCTCTTCTTCATTTTCTTCTCCTTTGATTCCCTCAACCCCTATTCTCAGCAACTCTCTCCCTAGACCTTATCTCACAGTCTAGCAGGGAAAACTACCATTTCCTTTTTTTTTTTTTTACCATTTCCTAACATTAAACAATAATAGATAAGTCTGTAGATAAATACTCTCCCCATCCATGAAACAGCATTTTCACTCTACACAATGTTTAACATCTGCATTCATAGTTTTACAGCAGTGATGAGATTCTATACTCAGCCAATGAGTAGGATTAAGTGGAACTCATCAAAGTGATGATGAACAGTGCATCTCCCAAGAAGAAGAAAGTAAAGACAAAATGCATAGTTCATCCTTAGAGCCATAGAAAGTTAATTTCTGAGGATTTTTTCATATTTTTTCGAGCATCAATCAAAACTGTTTTTCTTTTTAAATGGTTGTGTTCATTATATTAAAACTAAGATACCAGTCTTTAGTTGAGTGAAGTCCACATGTATTTTCCAAAATATTACAGATCTTTACTCAACTGCCTGCCCAGGAGATTGTGGACTCTTTTTGGTGAGAAACTATCTCATTCATGGTTGTATTCCCCAGGGCTTAATGTGCTCAACAGTTAATGAAATAAAATGATTCCTTGTATGAATCTCAAATTCTGCTTGGCTTTTTGTTTTTTAAGAACTCCAAGAGAGCAGCCCGGGTGGCTCAGCAGTTTAGTGTCGCCTTCGGCCCAGGGCGTGATCCTGGAGACCCGGGATTGAGTCCCATGTCAGGCTCCCTGCATGGAGCCTGCTTCTCCCTCTGCCTGTGTCTCTGCCTCTCTCTCTCTCTCTCTCTCTCTCTCTCTCTGTGTCTCTCATTAATAAATAAATAAAATCTTTAAAAAAAGAACTTCAAGAAATGGAAAAGTCTTGGAGCCCTATTTATGTAGTATATCAAGAGAAGAATAGAAATATTTACACAGGGTTGCTATATAATGACTCATGGCTATGCATTAACATTCCAAGGATCTGACAATGAGTACTCCTCAATTCATGTCCCCATTCCCACGGTGGAGCTCTGATTCCCAGGGCTCTCAACAATAGACTCTTGTTGTCTATTCTCAGTGAAAAGAAGATACCCTTGCATTGGCAGCCCTGAGATGATAGGAGCCTGTAGGTGAGGGTGGGAATACTCCTTAGTTACCTGGCAAGCATCAAAGCTCTCATTCTCATATCCAGCACACAGCATATTCTTGGTAAGTTTTGGAAACGCCTTTAAACATTTCTCCCAATCCGTGATGATCATTGGCACTTTCATCAGCTCAGTTTTCATAGAGTATTTGTCATCTAGCCCACAAAGAAAGCACATTATAAAAGTCACTAGATAGCAGTCCCAGGGCAACTAGATCACCCTGTGCATCCCTGCATCCCACCAGCCACTTGCCTATCTTTCTCTACATCCTCCACTCTCCACTTCCTTCCAATAATTCTATGTTATTCACTCATTCTGTCATCTCAGACTTTTCTAAAGAATTCCTCACCTACTTGAATTATTCTTCTTATTCAAAATTATATTCCTGCTTCCAAGCAGGCTTCCTGCTTGACTCCAACCGACCCTATAGACTTGACTTCTTGGAGCTGGCTATTGATCATTTTTCAGTATAATCCTGCCTCTTCAGCCTATATACCTATTGCTACTTTTTAGTATGTGAGTATGATACTTCCTTAGCACAAGGCTGCTGAAAGTAGGTTTGTGCTCCCAGGAAAAAGGCTTTAAGGTCCTCCAGGCAAGGACAGGTTGACTAAGAGTCTTTATAGGAGATTTGTCACAGCCCTTTCTGGACTCCCAGCTTCCAGGAATTTGTCTGAACTTTTCTCTGTCTTGTTAACTCAGACCACACAGATTTTCAAATTCTTCTTCTTATTAAGTACTTTTAATCTTACAGATACCCATCTGCCTCCTCTTTACTTCTAATTCTCCAGTAGTAGCCTAGAAACAGTGTTACTTTAGTTTTTCTCTGGTTAGTAAACCCCTGAAATTCCTACCATCTTCCAGACCCCAGCTGGTTGCAAAGTTCCCTATGTACCTAGAGTCTTGTTCAGTCCTGAGGCAGTGCTATGCTGTTCCCATCTCTTCCCCTACCTATTTTCACTGGGGGAAGTCCAATGGGGCTTTCATAATCCCTTTTTGCCCCCACATAGTTCCTCCTATTTTGGCCAAGTAACAGTGTAACAACAAGTAACAACACATTCATTTCTAAGAATGGCTGGGCAACACTCCAGGACCATCAGAAGACTGGGCCAGGACAGGTATCTAGAATGCCTGTAGGAACCAGGTGGGAAACATCAAGGTGTGAATCAAGGGAGATGTGAGAGAATAAAAAGGAAGGGGGCCCCTGGCAAAATGAGGAGTTTAAATTCAGTTAAACAAGCAAACAAGATTGCTCTGTGCTGGCTGAATATGACCACACCTGGCGAATGGCTTGGACCTGGCATCTCAGCCTGGGGCTTCGAGGAGATGCTTCCTTGGCACTGGGAAGGGGCTGAGATTTGGCCTCTGTGAGCCTCAGGTATGCAGGGATTTGCTCCAATGCAAGTCTTTTTCTCCTTTCCCCTTAGCCCTCTCTCTTTTCATGTCCCTGACCACATCCTTAGATTTACGGGCCCAACCTCAGATGCCTGTGATATGGCTCCTCCCTCAGAAGCTCTCAGGAGATGCTGAACAGTCACGTACCGCTATTAGTCTGACCCCATCCTGCCACCCAGCATTTGTGCCATGTGGAGGGGGTGGGCTTCCTGGGTATGCAGATAGGCTCCATCTGTCCATTGAATGTGATAGGCGAGGCCAACAGCAGCAAGGCAATATCATTGTCCATGTTGACTTTTTGAAAGTCCTTGTGAAGAACTATGCTGGTAACCTCCTTTATATCCAGGGATGGGCTGCTTAAGTCATTGCTTCCCAACACAACACTCAAGTCTGTTGGACTGTGGCATAGAACCAGAGAGAGGGAAGTAGAAGGAGAAGAGGAGTCATGAAGCACACAGAATTTACTCTGCCCAAAAAAACCTAAATCCCATATAGTTCTAGGAGCCTTTAGAACTTGTTCTACTGGAGCTGTTGCTCAGAAGATGTAGGGATTTATTGATTGATTGATTGATTCATGTAAGAATTTTAAAGAGGTCGAGGGAAGTGAAACTGCAGGAGGGGCAGACCACGGCCACATTGCTGCTCCAGCAGTCTTAGAGATGTGAATGAGATACTCCTGGCTAATGGTACAGAGGGAGTACACAGCTTTGGGGACTCCAAAGAATACACAAGAGACCACTTGGCATAGATCAAACTTGCTTCAGATAGGTAAGGTGTTATTACATTGATTTGTCTACCAGCAACTTAGAGACCCAGGCACAGAATTTAATCTAGACCTACCACTGATTAAGCAGAAAGAATTTTTAATAATAATTTAGGCATTCCCTCCAGGCAGAATGGCCAGAAACTTCCTAATAGCCAATCCTTAAGTATATCATGGAAGCATATGCAACAAGTCTCCTTGATTATGTCATGGTGAAATTTTCCACTGCTTTTTTATTATTATTATTATTAACTTTTAAAGGTCAGACTTTCTGTGTATCTTCCAACTTTCTTTCTTTCTTTTCTTTTTTTTTTTTTAAATGTTCCAACTTTCTTAAGGTGGTATAGCAGGTATCACAGAAAGCATAAGCACTGGGGCCTGGATTTAAATCCTATTTCTGTTTACTATGTGTGCACTGTGGGTGAGTCATTGGGCCTATTTCCCTCTCTATAAAATAGGATTGTTCATTCTACCTGCCTCAGAGGATTGTTGTAAGATTGAATGAATTAAAATGGGGGTTATTCATCTACCTTCTTCAGGGTTGATATATAAATGAATAAGTTAATGAAGGTTATTTCTTAGCAGGTAACTGACTCATGATTAGTAACCAGTAAATGCTAGATTTACAACCAGTCTCCTGGAGTGCAGAGACAACTCTGCAAGGAGCAAGTAAATAGAGTGTCAGATAGCCTAGGATCCCAGACTTCCAGAATTAACAGGATTTCCTCCTAGAAGGACTTACATGTCCTAGAAGGTGTGGATGGACCAGGACTTTGACTCTACCAAACCACAAATGTTCCTGAGGAGGATAGTATGTGACCTTGGGGAAACCATAGTTATTGGTCCTTGGAGGCAATGTGTAGGGCACAGTAGATGCCACCATCAGGCTCACTGCCTCCTCTTTCCTGGGAAGAATGTCAGATTTGGCAGGAGAGGCAAAAGGCTTTTGGAACTATATAAATATTTTATAACATACAGTCAGAGCTGACGGAGAAACTCAACTAAGAAAAAAAAGAACAAATGAACAAATTTATACATTGTGAAGAGGAAAACTGAAATAAAACATTGGACAAAGGGCTGAAGGGTTGGGTGGTAATCATTTCTGTCTGACTCAGGACTGACTAGGGCTAGGGTTTCCCTTAGCAATCAGGTCTTGCTGAGTGTGGGGGGTGTCCTGGGAGTCAGAGGCAACAGGGATAGGCTCTTGATACTTACAGTAGCTCTTCAGAAATTAAACAGTGAGCAGCAGTGATAATCCACCACTTGTTGATGATTGCGCCACCACAGAAATGTTCATTTCTTGCCTGAATACTCACCTGCCATGGGAACTCACCCACCTCAGCCTCCATCCCCCCTATGATTCTGGAATACTGAGATCCTCCCTCAAAAATGGGTCTTTTACCACATTCTGGTAGAATGAAAGAGGAAAAAAAAAGGGAAAAGTAGCAACACTTAGTCCATATCCATGGAGGCTTATAAGTAGCTATCATTATATCCATTCTAGAGAAGAAGCTTTCCCTTGAAGCACCCATAGGAACACAAGTAAGCCAACAGATGCTTTATTTTGTTGCACAGAGTCTGGGACATGGGTCAGAAGTGTTGGCTCTGTCCCCTCTCCAGCATTATGATCTCAGGCAAATCACTTCACTGAGCTTGTTTCTGCAATAGTCTAAAATAAATCACAGGAAAACACTTGTCCAGAGCCACCCCTGGAGTGCTGGGCAAAATAATGCTCCCAACCCCAGTAGATGTCAATGTCCTAATGGGCCATTCCCTAGAGCTTATCAGGAGGCTTACCTTTCAGGGAAAAGGGGACTTGGGAGATGGAATTAAAGTTGCTAATCTGCCAACCTTAAAATGGGGAGATTATCTTGGATAACGTGAGTGGGCTCAATGTAGTTGCAAGGGTCCTTAACATGGTGGAAGAAAGCAGGAAAGAGATATGACTATGGTAGAAAGGCATGCAGAGGTGCATACTGCTGGCTTTGAAGATAGAGGGGCTACCTGCCAAGGAATACAGAAGACCTACAGAAGCTAGAAAAAGCAAGGCAAAAGATTCTTTCCTAAAGCCTCAGATTAGAAATAATGTCCCGCTGATAGCTTGATCTTTGCCCAGTGAGACCAGTGCTGGATGTCTAGCCTACAGGACTATAAGATAAGAAATGGGTGATGTTTAAGCCACTAAGTTTGTGGCAGTTTGTTATAGCAGCCATAGGAAATATACATGCAGGAAAACAGAAAAGTGGCCCAGAAAGGGTTGGACCTACTGAAAGCTCTGAGGCTGAGCCATTATAGATGGAACATTCTGTTCCAGGCAAAGCAGTTCCATGCCCTGGGACGCTGAAAACAAAGGCTGTGGCTACTCATGCAGAGAAGAGAAATTTACTCTGAACAGAGTACAGGACCAGCACCTTGCCCCCAGGAGGAGGAGACATGCCATTAATATTGGTTGACATGAATGTCACCTTGTGCTCTGGAACAAGGAATGAGTTTGCCTCTAAGGAGCCTAAGATCTCCTCTTGTCTCTTTCTGGATGCCACTTTCCCAACTTTTCATTCAATAAAGGTTTTGAGGATTTTGTAATATGGATTGGAGTGGCCCAGTAGTGGTCATGTTTTACTTAAAAAAAAAAACAAAAACAAACCTAGAGTGAAAATTTAGCAATTTGTGTTAAAGGCCTTCAGCTGTCAGTAATCTATAAAAGCTCTTTTCAGAATTTTGGGATCTGCACTTCCTCTTTTATTCACTAGACACAGATGCTTACTATGCATCATGCAATGTTACACTCTACAAAGACCAATTTATTTAACTTTCATAATAATGCTTTGAGATAGGTACTATTATTATCACTCCCATTTTACAGTTGAGACAGCTGAGGGACAGTGAGGTTAAGTAATTTGCCCAAGGTCATACAGATAATTATGGCCAGACCAAGGTTTGAACGTAGGCAATCTGACTTCAGGGTGGGTGCTCTTAGCACTACTCAGTGCCCCTCTCTGTCTGGAATATTCTTCTCTCTGGTAGTTGCATGACTCACTTTGTTCAGGCCTTGGTTCAAGAATCACTTCTTTGGAAAGATCTTCCTAGCTCCTCCTGTCCTGGCCCCTTTTTATCTCCTACCCTGCATTATGTTTCTTCATCACTTTAACAATGTATTAATTCAGACAGTATTCATCCCTTTTTGCCTATGATACCAGAATGTAAGCCACATCTGGGAAAAGATACATGCCTGTCTTGTTGTTAATAGAATGACAGCATCATAGATGGCGTGGAAGGGACACTCAATAGTGATGAACAATCCTCTGACCCAGTGGTTCTACTGCTGGGAAATTATCCTAAGGGAAGAATCTAGAATGCAGCAGTTTAAAGATGTTCACTACAGTTATCTCTACAACAGCAATAAATTGAAGGCATCCTCAATGTTATGACTAAAGTAGGGCACATCTATTCAGCCATAAAAATTATGCTTATGGAGGGCCTTTAATGATGTGAGCCGAATACAGTGTTGAGGGGGAAAGTCAGGATAAAACAATCATATACGAACTTATGGCTTCAGTCATGTTAACAAGCTGGCCTTGTGCATGTGGGAGGCAATGTGCCACAATACTAAGAATGATTATGAGCCTGAAGCTTGATTGAATGATGGATGACAGCTTTGGGAACCAATTGTGTGACATCTCTGAGACACAGAGTATGGCATTTTCTAAGAGGGCAGGCTCTGGGGCCCCACAGCCTGAGTCCAATCCTGGCTCTGTTGTTTACTGACTAAATGATTTCAGTAAGCATTGGGGAAAGCTACTTACCCTCCCTTGCATAGAACTGATGTTTTACAGATTAAATGAGAGTGTGGGTATTGAAGTGTCCAACACAGTGCTTGGCACAGAGTAAATCCTCAAGCCACATTAGCTGTCAGAATTTCTCATATCATCTTGCACCAAAGGCTCCATGGGGCTGGCAGCTGAGCCTCATTCTCCATCTTTGTCTTAAGAACAACTGATATCACGGGTATAAATTCCTGTAAACTTGTTAATAGTAGAGCACAAAACCCCTGAGCTGTGATGGAGGCAATGCTAAAATGGGTGAGAATCTACTGCAATTGCCCACACCAGAGAGAGGCACATTCTGTTGATTCTTTCCTGACAACATGCACTACCACCCACTCACATTTCAGCCAATGCCCAAGGCCAGAATGAGGGAGGGCAGGTGAATAGGCTGTGTTCTTTTCATGGGGTAGTGTGAGAGAGGAAATGTGAGCTCTAGAGTCAAACAGGTACAAAATCCCCGCTCTTCTACTTCCCTGCTGTGTGACTTGGGACAAATCTTCAACTTTCATAAGGCTCAGAGTTCTTCACACATGCATGAGGCTGAGTGTGGAGAACCCACTGTGATGGTATGGAAGTTAAACATGGGGAATTACCTGACCCATAAGAGCAGCGAAATAACCCAGTTTCCTTCCAACCTCAGCCACACCTTGGAGAGAGAACCCATCAGGTTCAGAGAACCTTAGAGAACCTGATGTTCCTCAGAGAACCATGAGGGGCTGCCTATTGAGAACAGAAGGCCCTGGCCTTCTTCCTGTGTGCATACATGTGAATGTGCCCAGCTAGACTTTTGCTCTGTATCTGAAGTTCACCAGAACTCTGTCATTTTCCTGAGCCCCATGCTCTTCTTCCCCTGATTTGGAGTTCTAATGCTCAGCTCATTCTGGGCCCTTGCTTCTAGGCACTCTATTACTCATTCAAGAATAAAGGTTAGTATTTCAGAGCTGAAACTTCAGGTCAGATGGGTTGAACTTTTGGGCTCAGGAAGAGAGGAGAAGAAAGGGAAATAAGGGAAATCTTTTGGGGGAGTATATGGGAAAACCTGAAGCTACTGCTCTTGTGCTCTTTTGGGCCAGCCTCTTAGTGACCAATTAGCTAATTAATGAGCTCAACAACTGAATCTTTCCCTTAGCCCTTAATGCTCACCACTGATTGGATGGAAGTGACGTGAGCAAGGTCACCATCATGCCCAGCCCCACCTGGGAGAGCTGCTCTGGCCACTGGGAGAGGAGTCCACATACCAACATGTACGCCCTTGGCTTGAGACATGAGCAGCAGAATTGATAACAGAAGCATGCCCCTTGGCTTTGATGTTTGCCTAGGAGGTGAAGGAGGCCAGGATTGAGGGAAATGATGTTGGCAGAGCCTCTCTTCTTATAGTCAGTCCCTGGCTGATGATGTCACAAAGGGCTATGGGTTTGGGTAGACACTACTCAAGCATCCTCAGTACTGCCTTCCTGGCCAGTGGCCAGGCCCAATGCTTGGAAATGAATCATACTAATTTCAGTTCCCAAAGTGATCGCAGTTCATTTTCCAGGCCACATTGTCTACTCTGCCAGCCTAGCTCCCTTGGTTTTCATCACCTGCAGGAAAGGAATAATAGGGTCCATGAAGAAAGTCATTGTGAAGCTCAAAACAAGATCATGTGACTTGGGTGATGGACCCTCTTTACCATACCAAGGGTATGGCTCCATCTACTTCCTGAGAGGGGAAATTCCAGGACAGATGACTTACTCCTTTGCTTGTCCAACAGACCCCTGCAGGCAACTGCTCCTCAGCACCCAGGTGTCCACTCTGAGGGTTGACCCAGGGCCTGTTGTGTGGCCATGGGAAGGTACAATTCTCATCTGTTCTGAATAATACGTAATCTGTCTCAAACAGAAGAGGTCTGGTGAAGGGATAACTTTTTTTCTCTATTGGCACATGGGTAAAAGTACCAAAGCATGCCAGGTCACTGGGCCCTAGTCTTGCCACCAAGAAACTCCAGGCTTTCCCTTTGCTCTTCCTTTAGATTCAGCTCTCTCCTCTCCTGGACATGCTACACCCACCCCTGCTAAATGCTGGTGCCTTTTCCCTTTGCTCAGGTTTTAGGGGTGGGGTGTGGAGGGGAGGAGGAGCCTGGGCCCTAGGTCTGATTGGGAGAAAGGAGGATGACTACTAATCTCACTTGTGGGAAGGCAGGGATAATGGCAAACTCATACTAAATTGTTGCTCATTTTCTACTAAAGTATCTGGACAAAAGCCCAGCTCACCTCTAGGAAGATCCATTTCCTTCTGGGTCTATAGCCCTCCTATTAACATGACTGAGCCCTATTTCTTGTGAAATACTCATTCACTGCCCAGCATTATTATTTAGTGTGTGTGTGTGTGTGTGTGTGTGTGTGTGTGTGTGTGTGCAAAAAGCTCTTTTACAGTAACAACAGATCGCAAAATGCTTGAACTGATGGAGGGGAAAGATGGGTGTGGACAGAGCTACTGTGCACAACCACATCTCCAGAGGGCACCATTCCTAGAGGCTACAATGAGAATACCACCCCCCTGGAACTGGGCAGACATGAGAGCTTAGGTGTGAAGAGAAACTTCGGTGCTCTATAAGGAATCTATAGAAATCCAAAAAGAAAAGAATGATACATGATGTCACATGATGACATAGGTTACCCAGGACTGCTGGCTGGCTGGTACCTCAGACACCCCCAGGGTGACCTAATCCTGGTGACTTTATTTACCACAGTCCTGGCTAATAGATCTCTAACTTTGGTGTGCAGCCCGGGGAGCTTGTTCAGTGCAGATTAAGGTTTGCCAAATTTATCAAATAAAAACACAGGCTGCCCACTTAATTTTGAATTTCAGGTAAAGAACAAATATGTTTCTAATCTGTGTGGACCCCATGCAATGTCTGAGAGATACATACACACACACAAAAAAAAGAAAGAAAGAAAAAGAAAGAAAGAAAGAAAGAAAGAAAGAAGGAAAGAAAGAAAGAAAGAAAGAAAGAAGAAAGAAAGAAAGAAAGAAAGAAAGAAAGAAAGAAAGAAAGAAAAGAAAGAGAAAGAAAGAAAGAAAGAAAGAAAGAAAGAAAGAAAGAAAGAAAGAAAGAAATTCACATTGTATATGAAATTCTAGTGTATCTGGAATTATATATTTTACCTGGTAACCCCAATGTTGATTTCCAAGTTTTTTCCTTCAGATGCTGATCCAGTGAATAGGAGAGGGGAAGGAGGACAACAGATTTAAGCATTTTAACAGCTGTTCCCAGATGATCCCAGTGCAGATCATCCTGAACCATGTTGAGAATTGTCAGTCAGGCCTAGGGTACAGAGCTTCCTGGGGTCCCTGGGAATGTGGGACTAGAGTCTGACTCCATCCAGGAACTCTGGAGAGCGAGAGTGTCTGGCCAACCACTTAGGTTCTGGGGAGGGATGGACTGACCCTCTAGTTTGTGCAGTGTGGGCCACACAGGGGAGAGAGCCAGTTGGGGGTGTCTGAGGATCCACACATAAGGCTTCCTGAAGGGGGCAAGAGGAGCCCAAAGAGGTGGGGTTGTGCAACCAGGCCTGGGAGCTGCAGGACAAAGGAGGATAGCAGGAAACCACAGAAGAACCCAAGAGACACTACCCTAAAAGTCAGCAGGAAATGCCTCCTAGGCCCAGAGGTCAGGAAGCTGATGTTTGGACTAGCTCACCTTTATCTGTACCCTCTCCTCAACTTTGATTCCTGCCAGGAGTGAAAGAGCTGCTCAAGGTGGGGGAAGGTGAGCAGAACCAGAGGTGAGAAAAGGCCCTTGTTCCTAATTGGACCCAGACTGGAAGAGGGAGATTTAACAGAGTCAGATTTCAGCCTCTGAAAGAGTTTAGATATTCTAGTGCCTACACTGAAACTGGGTTGGGACTGAAGTGCCTATAGAACTGTTATCTCTGAACAACTAGAAGGTGTACCTGGAGCTTTTCTATCTGGGTAGGACAAATCATCCCCGCTGAATGGAGTTTAAAAAGATGGTGGGAGACACAAATGAAGCTGTGTGTTGGTTGAAATCCATGCATTGCACTTGTTCAAACATAGCAGTTATACTACCCATTGCATTTTTCCAGTGCCTTTGCAGTTGGTGGGAAAATTCTGGCTGGAGCTTCATGATTTCTCCATTTACAGCAGTTTGCTGAACTGTGGGGAATGTACTTATCCATACAAGCATAGGCAAGTCACCTAGTTCAGGCAAGCAAATGACCGGTAGGACTGCCATGCTCAACCCACAGCCCCTCACCCCACCCCCAGCCCCCACCTCTCATGACAGATGCAGCCAATTGATCATAACTCCTTTTTGCTGAGCCAAGAATTGGCCACAATGTGGCCATTTAGGCAGCTGTTACCAGGGGATCAGACAAAAACCATTGTTATTGTTGGACTACACACAACCAGGAGCCTCACCAATATCCAGTAACGACATAGTCAGACACTTTGGAAGATGCATCTGGTCTCCTCTCTGACTTTCATGCAGAGACTTGCTGCCCCTAAAAGTTGTGCATCTATTTATATTGTACTGTGTTATTTAGTAGGTAGCCTGCATGTTGTACTAGAGATGATTTCTGAAGTCAGACTTACTTAGCTTCAAATCCTGCTTCCAATGCTTCTATAAAGGGTCTTGGGCATGTTAACCTACCTCTGAGAGTTTTGTTTATTTCTGCACAGGGTATAATAGGACCTACCTGTTAGGATTGACATGAGAATCAAGCTATGGTCACAACGTGTCTTAGTCTTTCCTGGCTGCTGTGTAACAAATTGAGTTGACCCTTGAACAACGTAGGGGTTAAAGACACCGACCTTGCCTTACAGCCAAAATCCACGTATAACTTTAACACTCCAAAAACTTAACTACCAATAACCTATTGTTCATGGAAAGCCTTATCAATAACATAGTTAACACATATTTTGTATGTTTAAATATTATACATTGTATTCTTATAATAAAGTAAGCTAGAGAAAAGAAAATATTATGAAGAAAATCATAAGGAAGAGAAAATATATTTAGAGTACTGTATTTATTAATACCATAAGTTTACATTATCTGTTTACAAGGTGAATTATTTGTTAGTACCAACATCAACAGTCTTAGGTGATACAAAACACTGTAGATATTATATGTATTACTAACACTCAAAGTAAAAAATGAAAAGAGATGGTGAAAGAGAAATTCATATTTTTTTACAGGTATAATGATCCATGCATTGAAGCAGCAGTATGATTGCTTTGTGGTAGCCTAGTGTAATTGATATGATTGCTTCATGGTAGCCTTGCTTATACACTAAATGAGTAAACTGTTATAAAATTTTTATGGCATGTAGTATTACAATCATATTAATAATACAATATTAGTAAAATTGTTACAGCTTTTAAAAAACCACTTACCTGCAATAATAGGCTGATATGCAGTTTCTCCGATTATGAGGAGTTTATTTATTGTTTCAGGCTTAATGATTTTCATGACTTCTCCTGTAACAATGACGGCATCTTCAATGGTGTAATCCTGCCAGACTTTCATAGTGTTCTCTCCATTGGGGTTCTCTTCTACTGCGTTGGCTTTACACAGATTGTTGTGTGTAATGAACAGTAAAAGTCTTTCTGATCCCCCTATCTAGAGGCTGAATTAGAGACATTATGTTTGGGGGGCAAGTAGACAACTTTAATACCTTTGGTGTTGAACTCATGGAGCTCTATGTGGCCAGGAACATTTCCTGTATCAAGAGAGTTTTAAAAGGCAGTCCCTTACCCTCTTACCAATTGGTACTTCAGGGACGGAGCAGCAATGAAACCAGTCCAGAAAAAGGGTTCTTGTTGTCTAGGCCTTCTTGTTGTACAACAAAAAGACTGACAGCTGGTGTTTATATTTTCCTTTCAAGACTCAGGGGTTAGTAGCTTTATAGATAAGGGTAGTCCTCATTATAAACCCAACATTAGCTTAAAATAGTAGAGCTAGCCTATCCCTCCCTGCCTTAAATACTGATGCTGGTTCTTCTTCCTTATTAATTAAAGTCCTCTGTGGCTTTTTCTTCTTTTTTTCCAAAATAGAGCACTTTTATTTGCATGAAAAAATCTGATCAAGGTATCCTTTCTCATCAGTGATTTTCTTAATGGCATCTGGGAACTTGTTTGTTGCCTCTTGATCAGCAAAAGTTGATTCTGTTATCTTGATATTTTTTAAGACAAACCTTTTTCTAAAATCATCAAACCATCCTTTGTTGGCATTAAATTCTCTAGCTTTAGATCCTTCACCTCTGTTTGCTTACAGTTGTTATATAATGACTTCGCTTTTTCTCAAATCATATGAGAGCCTACAGGTATGCTTTTCTTATAACAAATTAAAAAAAAGATCATTTAAAAAAATGAAAGATGCATTTTCAATATGAGATAAAAAAGCATTTTGCAAAAAGTGCAAGTCTTTTGCACCTGCTAGCAAAGCTGCAGTGATAGCTTCACGGATTTCCTTTCCTTTCCTTTTCTTTTCTTTTCTTTTCTTTTCTTTTCTTTCTTTCTTTCTTTCTTTCTTTCTTTCTTTCTTTCTTTCTTTCTTTCTTTCTTTCTTTCTTTCTTTCCAATGGTCCTATGCTGGATTCATTTATCTTGAAATGGTGAGCAACCACAGCTGCAGACCTCAGTCTATAGTACTGATGAAGGAATTAAACTTTTTCTTATAATATCATGACTTTTTTTTCTGCTTCTTGGGAGAACTTTCAGCATCACTAGTAACACTTTCTATGGGTCCATAGTGTTCTTCAAGGTTTATAGTATTGCACTAAACACAATGAAAAATACAAAAAAACCATGAGAGATTAGTTTTTAACTGCAATACACAATTTACTGGAAAGATCAGCTCCTTATATGGAAATGATTGGCATCACAGCATTTTTTTAAAAAGACTTTTTATTTATTTATTCATGAGACACACAAAGAGAGAGAGAGAGAGAGAGAGAGAGAGAGAGAGAGAGAGAGAGAGAGATACAGGCAGAGGGAGAAGTAGGCAGAGGGAGAAGTAGGCAGAGGCAGAAGCAGGCTCCTCACAGGGAGCTTAATGTGGGACTCAATCCCAGAAACCTGGGATCACTCCCTGAGCCGAAGGCAGATGCTCAACCACTGAGCCACTCAGGCGTCCCAGCATCATAGCATTTTAGATGGATACTCCTAGTGAAATAGAGTTCACTGAAATAGTAGCAGAAGATGGCCATAAAATTATTATGGCAATACTGTATGCACTAGAGTTAATTTTTGCAGTTTTGATTTAATACTGCATCTTTACATTTACTTGTATTTCTCCTGACTGTGAATGGCTCTATGTGCAGTCTGTAAATTTTGTATGTTCATAAGTTTTGAGAAATTTTAACCTTTGGTAATAGATTTGTGTGTATTTTATGGCAATAAATGATATAATGGTCTAGTATATACATATATCTTATGTTTTTGTGACACATCAAGTCTTTTTTTCTTCTAAAGATTTATTTACTTGAGAGAGAGAGAGAGAGAGAGAGAGAATGTATGTGTGTGTGTATGTGTGTGTGTAGAGAGAGAGAGAGGGAGAGAGAGAGAGCTGTAGAGGGAGAGAATCTTCAAGAAGACTCCACACCGGGATCCCTGGGTGGCACAGCGGTTTAGCACCTGCCTTTGGCCCAGGGCGCGATCCTGGAGACCCAGGATCAAATCCCACGTCGGGCTCCCGGTGCATGGAGCCTGCTTCTCCCTCTGCCTATGTCTCTGCCTCTCTCTCTCATTCTGTGTGACTATCATAAATAAATGAAAAATTAAAAAAAAAAAAAAAAGAAGACTCCACACCAAGAGTCAAACCCAATGCGGGGCTCAATCCCATGATGATGAGATCACTACCTGATCCAAAACCAAGGAGTGGGATGCTCAACCGACTAAGCCACCTAGGCGCCCTACCAATTTTTTTCTTAATTTTTTTCAATATCTCTAGGCTATGCAATTTGTCTATTTTTCCAAATTGTGGGAAATCTCCAAAAAATTTTCCAATGTATTTATTGAAAAAAAATCTGTGTAAAAGTGGACTTGTGCAGTCAAAACCTGTGTTGTTCAAGGGCCAACTGTGGCCTAGACTAGATGACTTAAAAAACAGACATTTATTTCTCATAGTTCTGGAAGCTGAAAATCCAAACTCAGGATGCCAGGATGATTGATTCTTGGACAAGGCTGTCTTCCTGGTTTTCAAACAGCTGCCTTATTAGTGGGTCCTCATATGGATGAGAGATCTCTGCATATCTCTTATAAAGGCACTAATCCTATTTGTGAGGACTCCACCCTCATGACCTAATTACTTTTCAAAGGCTCACCTCCAAATCCTATCATGCTGGAGTTGGGTTTCAACAAATGAATTTTGAGGGGGATACAAACATGCAGGTCACAACACAGTGACTACTACATAGTAATGCATCCAAAACATGCTTGCTGTGACGATGTGATATTCTGGAGCCTAAGTTTGCATTTTCAGTCACTGGCAGATCATGATCATTGTCTCAGGTATACACAGGCTCTTGAGGTCATCTTCACATCTAACCCTCTTGGAGTAAGGTGTCTGGAACGCTGGAAGGACAGGGAACTGGCTTGTTCTGATGGCTTCCTCCATGCTAAAGTTTTGTATTTAGCATCACATTTAATTTGCAGAACAACCCTATAAACTAGACCAAGTTATCTCCTTTCCTCCTTTCACAGTGAAGAAAGAAGCCTCGGACAAATTAAGGAACCAGACCAGTATTACAGGTTACTGAGTGTGGGGGTTAATGAGTCAACTTGACTGGATCATGGAGTACCAGATATTTAGTTAAACATTATCTCTGAGTGTGTTTTTTGAGGGTGTTTCCAGATGAGATTAACATTTGAATTTGTAAATGGAATAAAGCAGATGGCCCTAAAATGTACCAGGTGATCTTCTAAGAACTAGGGATATAGGAGTAAATAAAAACTAAAAAGCCCTTTCCCTCACCAAGTTTATTATAGGAGAAGAGAACAAAGATTAAATAAATCCTGAAGATAGGGATTCTAACAGATGATCATTGGTGCTATGGAAAAATAAAGCAGGGAAAGAGTATAGGGAGTGCAGGTTAGGGAAAGTAGCAGGTACTGTTTTTAAGTGTTTGGGGAGATCTAACTGACAAGGTGACAGAAGAAACCTGAAGGGAGGAGGGAGCAAGCCTTGCCGGTAATTGGGAAATCTTATAGGTAGCTAGGGAGACTTGTAGGTAACTGGGGATTCTTGTGGTTAACTGGGGAATATTATTGTAATCTTGTGATATAATAAGAAATATATGTTGTGGTCTTCATCTGGGTTCCTTGCCAGAACCCTTAAAATCTTTGAAATTTCTTAAGTGCTAAGAACAATAGGAACATCTTTATTTTAATATGTGGTTCTTGTCCTGGCCCCTAAAACAGCTCTGAGGTGATAGAGATGAAAGGAGTGTCTCTTGTTATCCTTAACAAGCCTTTTCCAACCACACTTGAGTTTATGTTAATGAGATGATTTTGAAGAACCCCCCTAGCCTAGAGGGCTGGTTGCCAGGGGAACCCATCTTGTGACTAGAGGGTTGGAATTTCCAGCCCCAGCCCTGATTTCTTTCTTAAGATTTATTTATGAGAGACACAGAGAGAGACAGAGAGAGAGAGAGAGAGAGAGAGAGAAGCAGAGACACAGGCAGAGAGAGAAGCAGGCTTCTGATGCGGAACTCAATTCCGTGTCCCCAGGATCATGCCCTGTGCTGAAGGCAGGTGCTTAAGCGCTGAGCCCACCCAGGCGTCCTCCCAGCCTTGATTTCTAAGGAGGGAAGGGCTGGAGGTTGAATTAATCACCAGTGGCCAGTGGTTTAGTCAACCAAGCCTACATTATGAAGCCAACATAAAGACCCTAACTGAAGGGGTTCAGAGAGCATCTGGGTAGGTGAACACATGGAGCTGCTTGGAGGGTGGCACATCTAGAGAGGGCATGAAAATTCCATGTCCCTTCTCCATATCTTTTTCTATGTCTCTTTTCCATTTGGTTGTCCCTCAGTTGTAGTCTTTATATTAGTGAATAAAGCACTTTCCTGAGTTCTATGAGCTGTTCTAGCAAATTAGGAAAACTGAGGAAGGGTTGTGGGAACTCCTGATTTATAGCAGATCAGTAAGAAATGTAGGTGACAACCTAGATTTGTGATTGGCATCTGAAGTGGGTGCAGTCTTGTGGGACTGAGCCCTTAACCTGTGGGGTCTATACTAACTCCATGCAGTTAGTGTCAGAATTGAGTTAAACTGTAGGATTCCCATTCAACGTCCACTAAGAATCGGAGAAGTGCTTGGTGTAGAAAAACCCACACGTCTGATGTCAGAACTGTTGTGAGAACAGCAGAAAGTAGGAGTCATTGCTTTACCTGTAGATAGCAGCTATTTTAGGCAGTTGGTACTTCCTTCAATCAATCATCTGTACAATCATTCTTTAAATTCCTTACAAAGACTGTTATAAATGGGTGGAGATAGGGTAGTGGCTATAGAGTAAGTCAGAGTAAAGGGAGAACCTTTTGAGACTTGTTTATTTAGAAGATTTT